TCAATGCTAGAAAACAATTTTCATCTAATAATTTAAATTATCTATGCCGGTAGTGACACTTATTTTATTTTAATTTTTTTGTATTTTTGTTTGTTTCTTCAGGTTTTTTTTTTTAATTAGTGAAATTATAATTGTTTCTTCAATTTGAGACGGTGGCCGTTGGAGGCAGTAGTAATGAGGAAAGACCAGTCAAATGTACAGAGACTTTTGCATTGGGAAGGAAGAATGAGCAATTGAGCGTTGCCCTTTCCCCTGTTCTGCTCTTTATATAAACCCCTTGGGCCTCCTTGCTTGACTCAGAGCCTCACTTTTTCTTATTACTGCCAATTCTGCCTCTATATCATCATCCACCACTGCTTTCCCAACCTCTCCCCCCCATCACTTTCTCGAGAAAATTGTAGTTTTCCCAAATCCAAAGCTCTCAAAGATGGCAGCTTTTTCATACGAACAACACCTTCCTTTTCTCCTCGACTCTGTTTGCTCACCAACCAAACTTTCTGGCTTTATGGAGGAAGGAAACATATTCGACACCAACTGTTTCTCCCCATTTTACTTGCCGGACCCTTGGCCGGAGACGACCCTTCTTGATCACAGCTCAAAGTTGGCTGTTAGTGAGGATAATGAACCTTCTTCTGTGATCAGAAAGCAGAGTACTGAGTCGTCTATTGTGGTGGATAAGATTGAAAGTGGTGAGCAGGTTACTCAAAACGTAAGTCAAATGAGGAGGAAGAGGAAGAGCAGAAATGGGTCATCCTTGAATCCTGATCCATCTAAGGTAGATTATTAGTTAATCACCATGAAATTCATGCAGATTATGCGTTTTGTCTGTGTTCCTCAACCACTCCATTAACCACCCTCAAATCCATGCAGATTATGTGTTTCTGGGTTTTCCTTAATTGTTCATATTCTGAATTCTTTCTTCTTTTTTGTGGATTATCATAGGATGCAAGAGAAGGGAAGAGCAAGAAGCAAAAGAAGAACAATGGTTCCATGAATGATGAAGAGAAAGACCCAAAAACTGATGATCAAAAGGAGCAAAATAAGAGTTCTGAGGAACCTCCAAAAGGCTACATTCATGTAAGAGCGAGAAGAGGACAAGCAACAGACAGCCACAGCCTTGCAGAAAGAGTACTTCTTATCCTCTTGTCTCTACGAACTCTTAAATTGTGAAAATGGAAACCCACCAAAGCAACCAAATTTATGTTTTACTTTCATTTCTTATAATGGGTTTTCACTTTTCAGGTAAGGAGAGAGAAAATCAGTGAGAGGATGAAGATTCTACAGCAGCTTGTTCCTGGCTGTGACAAGGTTTGAGAGAGAAAATTTACTTTCTTTGTCTTGACTTTTGCCTTCTTTCTTCCTTCTCAATTTGGGTGGAGATTGTTCATATTTCTAACAAGAAGTGGTCGGTGGTTTGGTATTAAAATAGGTAACTGGAAAGGCCCTAATTTTGGATGAGATAATCAATTATGTCCAGTCTCTTCAGAATCAAGTAGAGGTAATCAAAATCGACACAACCATTTGCATTGTTCCCCAATTATCCTCCTAATTATGTGTGATTAATATCTAATGATGAATTTTTTTTTTCTTTATGTTTTAGTTTCTCTCATTGAAGCTTTCTTCTTTAAATCCTCTTTTCTATGACTTTGGGATGGATACTGATGCATTCATGGTCCGACCAGATCAGGTAAGAAGCAGCCAAAATTAAAAGGAATTAGTTAGAGCTTCTTAATTAGTTAATTTATTGATTATAATAATGAGAAAAAAGGCTTATGAGATCTTTGTCTCTGACATAACTATTCAGAGATTGAATTGCATGGCATCACCACTGCCACCTCTGCAACAATGCAGCCTCACTCAGGCCACAGCTTTTGCTGATACAACCACCGCCTTTATCCCTCCTAATAGCTTTCCTCTTGTCGAAGCTTCACCTTCACTTTTACTTCAATCTCAGGTACATTCATATAATTCATGAAGTTACATGCACTTCTTTTCTTCTTTTTTTTTTTTCTGTAATATTTAGAAACATACCCTTCTTTTTAGCCCAATGGAGATGTAATGTGGGATGTGGACGACCAGAGACAGAGGCTTCTCAGTTCATCTGGGTTCAATGACAATTTGTGTTCCTTCCATTAAATGTTGATACTGTGCTGCTCTACAAAAACCAAACATCTAGTGGTAAAGGTCCCGTGTCCTGTCTCTTGTAATAAATCCACAAGAATCCAAAAAAATTCAAGTTCACATATATCTAACTTTTCTTTTTTCTTTTTTTCTTTTTTTCTTTTTCCAAGTTGCCAAACAGGGAGAAAAGGAGAAACCCCTAGAAAAATGAAGAATCAGTACAAGGCTTCTGTTTTCTAGTGGAGGATGGGGGATTCTGCTTCCCTGGGAAAGATATAGTTCAAATCCAACCAAGTTAGAAACGGAATCTGAAACATGAATAAAGGGCAGCAGCATAATCAATGGAGGATGAAAACCAAAGAGGACAGACATAAACCAACCAAATGAGACCAGATCTTTGGTAGATTCCTTGTTCTTGTCCATATTGACTCTACCATGTCTCTATCATGCACAAATTTCCAGAATATATGGTTGTTATGGTTAATTAGGATTATGAGCAGTGGTAGTATTTTTTATCAGATAGAATTGTATTATATATAAAATTGAATTTCCTTGGGGTACAGTTATTCTGTTGTTACGGTTACTTTAACTATGATGGCAGTAGAATCGGATTTTTAGATCCAAT